AGTTGGATTTATTTTCTTAATTAGGAACGACTGTATTTTGCAAAAAAGTTTTGGTATTAATACTAACAGTGACACAGTTAGAGCCAATTTACAAAATCATTATTTTTTAAATAATAAGAATTTTATTACTTTAACTCATAAACTGCTTAATTAGTTAAAATTTAACAAAAGAAATAAAGAAAAACCTTTATTACTTTGCGAATTCGCTAGTGCAAAATCAACATAATTTCCATAAAACATTGTATTTGACCACTGTTTCTAGTAAAACAAAATTTGTTGTTAAAGATGACTGAATTTTTTTTTAGTTCAAAAAAAGTGTTTCACTAAATCGTGCCAACCTTTTTAACCACTAACTTTGAAACAAGTTCAATTTTCTTCTGTTGTCACACAAAGTGTTTCATAAAAATATTTTTGAGACACTCGGTATAAAACAAAATCAATCTTGCTAGTTGGATTTATTTTTTTACTTAGGAACGACTGTACTTTGTCAAAAAGTTTTGGTATTAATACTAATAGTGACACGTAGTTAGAGCCAGACGAGGCAAAGCCGAGTCATTACAATTAAAAAAACTTTACATAGCAGAAAATTTACAAAATCTTTATTTTTACAATAATAAGAATTTTATTACTTTAACTTACAAATTGCTTAATAAATCACAAATTTAACAAAAGAAACAAAGAAAAACCTTCCTTACTTTGCGAATTAGATAGTGCGAAATCTGCACGGGGGCAAGCGGCTATGCCGCGAGGCCCCCATAATTCCCACAAAATATTGGATTTGACCGCGGTTTCTAGTAAAACAAAATTTGTTTTCAAAGATGAATTTTAAAACAAGTTCAAAAAAACATATTTCACTTAATTGTGCCAATTTTTTTAACCGCTAACTTTGAAAGAAGTTCAATTTCTTCTGTTGTCACACAAAGTGTTTCATAAAAATGTGTTTGAGACACTCGGTATAAAACAAAATCAATGTTGCTAGTTGGATTTATTTTCTGAATTAGGAACGACWGTATTTTGCAATATTTGAGTTATTAATTGATGCACTAACGCTAATACCAGTCGACCGTTAAAATATGCAAATTAGTGCTCTCTAAATGAAGCACTTAGTTCATAAATTTATRAAAAACAATTTTTCTCGTAACAACTGGACAAACCAATCCTGTTATAGCTCCAAGCAAGAGTTTCAAWACATTTTAAATTGATGACAGTTCTTGGTAGCCCGTAGTTCGATTCAAGAATGTGTTTAAAACATTCTTATTTAGGAATTTATTTTCCTTCAAAAAAAAACAACAAGCAACCTAGTTTTTGCAAAATCAAAGAGAAAATTGGAATTTGTTCAGAATGGGAGAATCCCTGCACCCATATGGTATCTATCTCAAGGTAGTGAAGGAAAGTTTTACATAAATCAGCTTTTACTGAAGCCACAAGCATTTTCTAACTTGTTTTCTTGACTTGTTATCATATTTTTCCATAATTAATCGGCTTGTYGCATCTGACCTTGATGGGTCGATGTCAATATGTTATTTGTTGTTGACACACAAAATGTGAGCTTAAACCATTTTTTAATACCGTTTCCGTACATT